AAATATCACTTTTACGAGCTCCATAGTGAAGTACTTTAGTGCTCCAACACCCTAGGTGCCTGTTGGGTTTTGTGGTCTTTAAAGGCCTAGAGAGCTCGTAAAAGTGATATTTTTATATTAAAATATGCACTTCACTAGAAGTGTAAGTGTTGATTGACCAAGGGTTAGATGTTTTATGATCCTAATTATGTCCAAAACCTTTACCCCTGGGCATGTGGTACTACCCAAAAGGGTTTATAATAGGGCATCTCTTGTTGAGGTCGAAGAGATACCCATGGATAATATTTGTAGGCCAGGACAACTGTGGGGTCCCCTGTGTGCGGTTATGGGGCCGTGAGAGTAAGGGCCAAAGCCTCAACAACAATCCGCACAACATGTACAAATGACAGCCGCATTATTGAGAAGCAGCCCTATAAAGGGACACATGTACATGTGCATAGAGAGCCCCCTTTGTACTGATGGTGACAACTGTTGGACATGCTCTTAAAGAGGGGGCTAAAATCCACATTCTAGAATCATGGTTGAACTATTTATTATACAACTTTCACAAGAGCCCCTACATTGAGATTGTGGGTCTTTGTTGGGTTGGATAAGAAAACAGTTGTGGATCACAGTTCTTGGGTCAAGTAGAGTATTCTTATTGTCGCTAATTTTGACTCATTGATATCAGTCTACTTCTAAAATATTTTACTTTGGTATTAGAAATATTTGTATGAGTTTTTACAAACTTTCAGAATTTTAAAATTTCTTTTTGCTGTAAAATCCTTCAAAAGAGTATTTTTGTAATTTCTAAAATTTGGAAATGCACATGTGGGGCCCAGGATCCAGCCCCACATGTATGCCACCCATGGTTGGGACATGGATCATTATGGGGTAACACTTAATCTCTCTTGAGTGGCACACCCTCTTTCTTTATTTATGTGACATGTCTTTTTTGTTAAAGATTATTTTAGGGATTCTTTTAAATATTAAAAGATTGTTTTAATTAGGAGTTTAGTTTGACCAAAACTCTAATTATTTTGACTTCCTACAAATTTTGGAAAGCTATTAGAAACTTTTGGAATAGTTATAAATTCTAATTTAAATAGAAGTTGGATTTGGGTCAAATTATAAGGGGATAAAGTTATTAATAATCCTCCCAAAATCATGATAGCTGATTTGTGAGACAGATGGCTCAAATTTGTTACCTCTCACCCCATAGATTTTTTAATTATTCTAAAGTTCAAGCTGAAAAATAAGATAAGACATACCTAGATGAAATCTTACTCCAAGTAGGAAATAGTTTTGTTTCATTTAAACAACATTTTTTTTTTTTTGATAAAGTTAAACATTGTATTGCTGTATGGAGTAAGAGTACAAAGAAGAAGAGTGAAGAGGTGGGACCGAAAGTACCCACAAGACGGGTCTCTTTGTCAAAAAATTAGGTCCTAGAGACCCTATACAAAAAATGACCTTTTAACCTGCCTGATTACAAGATATGTACTTGTGTGTAGCAAAAAATGGGGCTTATAAAAGTGCCCGATTACAAGATAAGTAGATGTGACTAACTACACTCCTAGGCGCCCACTGTGGTCCATAGCAAAAACGGAGATGGACCAAGCGGGGTCTTCTGCATGTGCCTTGCTCCGTCTTTAGCAAGAAGATCGGCGAACTCGTTTGATGTCCGCCAAGTATGATTCCATAAGACGTTCATATCCCTACATATGTAATCAATTTCATCAAAAATCGTGGAAAGGTACCAAGGAGGTGTTGTAGTGCCTGCTGCCCAAGAAATGATATTTCGGGCATCTCCTTCCACCACCAAAATTGGGCCCCATGAAAGGTTAAAACTTTTGAGACCCATAAGAAGGGCCATGGCTTCAGCATACTGGGAGTCTGCCTGTCCCAAGCATTCGGAGTAGGTGAAAAGGATAAGGTGAAAAGGATATTGCATTTATGGTCTCAAAAGTTTCATTTAAACAACACTGAGCCCCTCTCTTAACACACGTTTCTCTCTCCTCCATGTACCAAATCTCTCTCTCTCTCTCNTACATCACATCNTCACATCTAGCATATCTGACNCTAGACCATCCACTGTTACTCACGGGTCAAAATCTTGCCAAGCCTGAACTTATCCAAATCTATCAA